CCACCACCAACGTGTCGTCGTACGGAGCCCTGGAGCGGCTGCTGGCTAGCTCGTTCGATGCCCAGGTCGTCCTCGTCCAGGAGCACCACGCGGGCGACGACAAGGTCGCCAGTCTGCAGCAACGGGTGCGCAGCCTGGGCTTCCACGGCGTCTGGGACACGGCGATCCCCTCCCCCGAAGGAGGCACGCGTGGAGGCTGCGCGGTCCTCGCCTCCGCGGCCATCCAGGTGAGCGCGCCGCCCCTGCATCCCACGGGGTGCCTGGTGCCAGGCAGGGCCACTGCGGGCCTAGTGCATTGGGGCGTGTCTGGCGGCATCGTCTTCGTGTCCGTGTACCTCCACGACTCGGTCGGGCTCGACGTCTCCAACCTGGAGATCCTGAGGGTTGTGGGCCACTACGTGCTGGACGTCGCCAGCCGTGGCTACTGCTGGGTTGTGGGCGGGGACTTCAACATGTCCCCCGAGCTGCTGGCCCCGTGGTTCAACTCGGTGGGCGCTGTGCTGCTCAGCTCGGCGGCATCGACGTGCAGGCAGAAGATGCCAGGCACGAAGCTCGACTACTTCGGGGTGGACCATCGCCTCCTGAGCCGCGTCCGGCTGCCCGAGGTGGTGGAGGCGGCCGATACGTACCCTCACAAGCCTGTGCTGCTGCCGCTCCTGGCCCATGATAGGCCGCTGTGGTGCAGGGTGCCGTGGGAGCCCAAGGCCTTCGCGGCGGTGGCGCCGCCCGGCTGCAGTCGACCTCCGGTGGGGATCTGGGCTGCGGTCCAGGAGGCGACCGAGCGCGCCTCCTGCGAGGGTGCGGTGGCTCAGTGCTGGGACGACGTGCTGCAAGGCATCGAGCAGGAGCTGTGCGGCCGCTTCGACCTGGTGGGCGAGGCCTGTGCTGGCCAAGTTGGGCGAGCTGGGCCGCTGCGAACGCGTTGGCAGAAGTTCGCCTGGCAGCCGCCGCGACGCCGACCTCCTGAGAGGGGCACGGCCACCGATGCGTGGGCTGTGGCGGCGGGCTGGGCCAGGCACCTGCGACGGGTCAGCGAGAGCCTCAGCTCCAGGATCCCTCAGCTGATGGAGGCGCGGGCTGCTGGGGGCGCCACGGCGGCGGAGACCTCCAAGATCGGGATCCTGCTCTACGATACGGAGGCCTTCGTCAAGCGGGTGCTCAAGCAGAAGTGGGTCTTCGCGGAGGTCGATGCCTGTGTCCTGCCATTCTTCCAGCAGGGGCTGCTGGTTTTCGCGGACGCCTACTTCCACGACATGGTGGACTGGCTCGTCCATCAGGGCGAGAGCAAGTTGGCCGACTTTGCGGCGGTGCGTGCCAAGTCGTGGAATGCTTGGGTCGAGGCGAGCTTTGTGCAGGGCGCGTCCAAGGCCCATCGCTTCTCCAAGGTGCAGGCGCTGCAGCCTGCGGAGGCTGAGGCCGCCGGTGTTCAGCCTCATGAGCGGGCCGATAGCTGCCTCGACTTCTGGTCCGGCATCTGGGCCACCCATGGCTGCTCGCGCTTGGAGCTGCCGCCTGAGGCTGCTAGCTGGCCGCTGCTGCCGTGCATCTCTCACGTCGAAGTCCGAGCTGCCGTGCGGAAGTTTTCCTCCCGGACTGCTGTTGGTCCAGGCAGCCTCGCGCCTTGCAGCCTCTGGCACCTCAGCGATGAGGCTCTGCAGGCCGTCGCCGTTCTGTTTATGCAGTGCGAAAAACTTGGGATGTGGCCGAGCGATCGCTTGGCCACCGAGTTAGTGCGCCTCGCCAAGCCTGATAAACCAGGCGAGCACAGGCTGATAGCCCTCATTCACTCTCTGATTCGGGTGAGGGGGAGGGTTCGGAGGCCTCTTTCGGTGGAGTGGGAGGGGAACCATCGTAGCGAGCTCTTGTGGGGCTCGGGCCCTGGGCGCTCTAGTCTCGATTGTGCCTTCAGTCACAATTTGGAGGCCGAAGTGGCTCGCAGCATAGGTGAACACTGTGTGACGGTGCTAATCGACATGATTAAATGTTATGAATTAGTCCTGCTGTCGGCTGTGATGGCCGAGGCTGCTGCCGTGGGATACCCCCTTCGGCTTGCTTGGATGTTGGTGTGCAACTACCAGCAGCCTCGGCGCATCCGCGGGTTTGGGTCGCTCAGCCGCTCCTACAGGTCCTACCAGGGGATTCTCGCGGGGTGCAGCCATGCCACCACTCTAATGCAGGTCCTGTTGCTTAGGCCCCTCCAGAGACTCAAGAGGGAATTCGATTTTGTGGTGCCCCGAGGCCTCATGGACGACGTTTCGTTCCAGTGGATAGGGGCAGTGGCCAAGTATGCAGGTGTAGTGTTTAATGCTGTGGTGGCCTTCGCCAGGTATACCCGCCCGCTCGGCTTCTTGCTCCAGGCTTCGAAGTCGGGGTACCTGGCGTCGTCGACGGAGGCGGCCAAGGCCGTCAAGGCCCGAGCGTACAGGCTCAGGCTGCAGCAATTTCAGACGGCCAGGAACCTAGGTCACGACACGTTTGCTGGCGGCATCCCCCGCAGAGCCCTCGAAAGAAAAAGGTTGGGTACTGTGTTGGGGCGCCGGGGGCGGCTTCGGGCCCTCAGGAAGGCCGGGGGTCTCAAGGTGAGGACTCTGTGGCGCACCGGTGTTATGCCGTCAGGTAGTCATGGAGCGGGGGTGGTAGGCCTCACGGACTCCACCCTCATGAAGTTGAGGTCGTTTGCAGGCGAGTTGGTAGGAGCTAGGCGAGGCCTCGCGTCGCTCACTGCGTATACTTGCACGCAGAGAGACAGGTTTTATGATCCCACCTTCGACGCCACCTGCCCTCTGGTTGTCAGATATGCGTGCTGGCTGTGGGATGGTCGGACCTCCCTCTCTCGCCTCCGGACTGCGGTCGTGGCCATCCGTGATCGGTTGGGTCAGCAGGGGTCTTGGAGGCAGTGTTTCGGTCCCATCTCTGCTGTGCTTCTCACGCTTCGTCGCATCGGCTGGGAGTTAGAGGCCCCTCACCTCCTCCTCTCGGACCGTGGCGAGCACATCTCTCTGTATGACTGCGCTCCCAGCGAAGTTCGGAGCCTCGTTCGAGACGGGGTTGAGCGTTGGCTTTGGCGTAGGGTCCCCTTCCACTGGCCAGAGGCGACGGGATCCGAGTTTTGTTGGGCTCGAGCGATGCGCCTGTCCCTCCTGGCTCTCCCAGCGGGTGCCCATCAAGGTTCGATGCGCGCCCTGTGGTCTGGAGGGTTGTGGCCGCCTGCTCGCAAATTCGACGCGGGCCTGGCTCCGTCAGCTCAGTGCACCTTCTGTGGAGCGGAGCGAGGGTCGATGGGCCACCAGTTTTTCGATTGTTCCAGTGCCTTCGCCTCGGGCGAGGATTCGGGGGATGGCATGGGCTTCCCTGAGGACGTTTGGCAGCACAGGCAGGCCTTGCGGGAGAAAGGGAGGAGTCTGGGGTCGGCCGATTGGGATGTCGTGTCGTCGCTCTACGGGGTTCCCTCCCTCCCTATCCAGTTGCCTCCTCCCCCAGCTCGGCCGCATGTGCTCACCTGGGGACTCGCGGAAGGTCCTTGGGGCAGGTTTCGGTTCACGGACGGGTCTGGGCTCCATAGCTCGGTGCCCGAGGCCACTAGATGCGGCTGGAGCGTGGTTGAGATTTCTGACGATGGATGGCCATTGAGGGCCAGATTTGGCGGTCTCCCAGGGCGTTTTCAAACGGTCCCCAGGAGCGAGAGGTGGGCGGGGCTAGATGCCATCGCCCTCGGCCCCTCGGGAGGCCTGCCACCTGTCATAATTAGCGACCACCTTTCGTTTGTCAATGAAGGGCGAGGCTGGGACCCCAACCTTGAGTGCGGTACCTCAGCCCACGCGTCGATTTGGCGCAAAATCTTCCTTGTCTGCTCCCAGCACGCTCTGCGTCCTGAGTTCCACTGGACTCCTGCACACTTGTCGCTCCAGGGGTTAATCGATCAGGATGCGGGCGCTGGTGATATATGGCGTTTCATGGGTAATGCTTGGGCCGATTTCTTTGCCAAGCTCGGAGCCCAGGACATCGCTGTTGCTGATGTGGCGGTTGCGTCGCTCCAGGCCGCCATAAGCGATTGCAAATTGTCGTGCCAGTTTCTCTCACGAGCCGTCCAGATAATCTGTGCTCGTCCCGAGGTCTCCCAGGCGCCTGCTGCTCCAGTGCCGGCTCGGGCCCCAGGGCCCCGTGCGCCCCAGCTGGTGTTAGTGGCTCATGACACCGTGCCCCTGGCTCCTGGGTCCTCGGCGGTTCAGTGCAGGCTCTGTCTGGCCGTTGCTCGGACCCCAGCCAGTTGCAAATCGCTGCTGAAACCAGGGGCGCGGTGCGAGCCTGGCCCAATGCTGCGCCAGCTAGCGGCTGCTACCGAGCGGCTGGGCTGGCGGCAGCACGTCTCCGGGGAGGGGGAGGCTGCCCTTGCCGCTGCTGCTGCCGCTATGGAGGCGGAGGCGGGGGGATACTTGTTCGAGTGCGACGGGCACAGGATCCACCGTGCAGGGCCTTTCCTGTACTGTGGCCGCTGTGGGGCCCGAGTGGCTTTGGGGTCTCCCAAGTTGGAGGCCCTTGGAGCCCCGTGCCCGCCGGCACCCCCGAACCCAGCCCGTCGGCGAGCCAGGGATTGGCTTGCCGAGGGCAAACATCCAGCGTCAGGCGTTCCTTTCTGACTTGTGATGCGGGGGGGAGGCCTGTCGGGTGCCGCCCAGTTCGCCTGAGCTGGGTTGGTGCCGTCAAAACATCGATGGCCTCCCTCCGCACCGTGTAAGTGTGCAATTATCGGTCGAATGCTTCCGGCCTGGAGTGCTGGTGATTTATCACGCTCCCCCGTTTCATTTTATATAGTCGCCGTCGCGTTCCCGGATGCTTCGACGTTCTATGCTGCGTCGTGCGTCGTGCCCTCCTCCCCCTCCTCCCCCCATCCCCCTCCTCCCCTCCTCCCCGTCCTCCCCCTCCTCCCCCTCCTCCTCCTCCTGGCCGGCCCGGGGTCGGCCCGGCCAGGGTCGGCACGGTGGAGCGGGCGACCTCCGGTCCTGGGTCCACTGGTCTGGCGGCAGCGGCCGGTAGCTCGCGGAGCAGATGGCGGAGCCGAGCGCCATGAAGTCCATGTCGCTGCGGTAGAAGGGCGAGAAGAACATGGCGCACTCGTACAGCGTGCAGCCGAGGCTCCAGACGTCGGAGGCGAAGGCGTAGCCCTGGAGCCGTGAGGCTCTGAGAGGTGAGCTCGCACGAGCGCGGCAGCACAGGAAAGCGAATTGGCCCGGTGGTATCGCCCCAGTAAGGCGGAGTCGCCCGTATGCCCTCCCAAGCCCAACCCATGCATGAAACACATGGAACCCCCATCCTCCTCCATCTCCTCCATCCTCCATCGTCCCCCTCCTGAAACCTCACCCTCCACCTACACATCCTCATCCTTCTCCGTCGTGCCTCCTCCATCCCTCCCTCCCTCCATCAATCCATCCATCCATTCCCAAAACCTCCCGCAGCCTTCCTCGCTCCTCCTCCTCCTCCTCCTCCCCCCCTCCTCCTCCTCCTCCTCCTCCTCCTCCTCCTCCTCCTCCTCCTCCTCCTCCTCCTCCTCCTCCTCCTCCTCCTCCTCCTCCTCCTCCTCCTCCTCCTCCTCCCAGCCCCACCTGCTGCGTCATCGTCGTCGTCGTCGTCCGTCGTGCGCCGTCGCCGCCGCCGCCGCCGCCGCCGTCGCCGTCCTCGCCCTTAACGATCTCGGGGCTCATGTAGAACGGGGTCCCGACGCACGAGAGGGCACACTGCGTCGCCGTCTGCAGCTCCCTCGAGAGCCCGAAGTCACCCAACTTCGCGGCGCCGTCCTGACAGGACCAGCCGGCACGCAGAAAACGGCACCGACTCGGACCGATCACGGGACCGGACTGCATCGACTCGACGTCTAAAAGGAGAAAAAGCAGCATGAGCAATAACTGTTGGAGGTCCACGGTGGTTTCATGGATCGGCGCTGGACCTCCAGAGAAGGTGTTCCCCCACACTCTAAGATTGGGTTTACGTCATTACTCAGACCGCGCCGACTCCCACACCCTCCTCACCTTACCTTCGCCTGCTCCTCCTCCATTTCCACAGGCAGCCTCACTCATCATACTCAAACTCATTCATACTCAGGCTCACTCACACTCAGACTCACTCACACCCAGGCTCACTCACACTCAGCATCACTCATACCCAGGCCCACTCACACTCAGACGCGCTCCGATTCAGACTCACTCATACTCAGACTCATTCACACTCAAATTCACTCACACTGATTCTCTCACCCAGACTCAATGTCACGCAAATTTCACTCACACTCAGACACACACAGATTGTCAGGATGTCTCAAGCGAGACGCTGGTCTCAGCACTCCCAAGGGAGAGCCGCCAGGGTAAGGACACTCAAGGATTCGCGCCGGGATGTATCAAGTGGTTTGCCTGTTTGCATGCTCAGCGTCCTCTGCTTTCGGAGCAAGTTGAAAGGATTTCGCAGGCGAGGCGCTGCTCTCAGCACTCCCACCGGGGTCCGCCAGGGTAAGGACACTCAAGGATTCGCGCCCAGATTGTGGGGATGTCTCAAGCGGTTTGCCTGTTTAGATGCTCAGCACCCTCAGCTTTCGGAACTATTTGTAAGGATGTCGCAGGCGAGGCGCTGGTCTCAGCATGTCCAGGGGGGGCCGTCCACCAGGGTAGGGTCACTCCGGGACTCCCGCCCAGCTTGCGGGGATGTCTCACGCGGTTTGCCTGCTTGCATGCTCAGCGTCCTCTGCTTTCGGAGCAATGTGTGAGGATGTCGCAAGCGAGGCGCTGGTCTCAGTACCCCCACAGGGTAGTCACCAGGGGTCCTCGGGCTCGGATCCTGTGTGATTTGCGTATGTCTCTATAGACTGCCCCGATCCTGTGGCTCGAATCCTAGGCGTTGCACGTGTGTTACTCAAGGTTGCCCCTCTCCCTGGGGCTCGGATCCTCTGTGCTTACGTCTGTTCGTTTCGATTGCCTCTCTCCTGTGGCTCGAATTATATAGAAAGTGTGCATGTTCTTATATAGATATACACAACTTTTGAATGCATACACACATACAGATAACTATATTGATACACACATATGTGCATACATTGCCCATCTCCTATCGCTCGAATCTTTCGGTTTGCAAATGTTCATGTAGATTATCGCTCTCCTGGGACTCGTATCCTTCGCGTTTATGCGTATTCCTACATATGTCCCTCAGATGCGGCCCGAATCCTGCGTGCTTTGCGTCTCTCCTGGAGCTCGAACCCTGCTTGCGCATCTGGCCCCTCCCCGCGCCCAGGAGGCTTCAGGAGGCCCCAGGAGGCAGCAGCTTTCTGTATTAAAGAATATGTTCACGGAACGCTTTTCGCCCCCCAACACCCCCGGAAGGCACCAGGAGCTTGCATTGGGGTAACGAAGGAGGTGGTACGGTACAAATGCTCATAGTGTGTTCCCGGGGCCCCAACGCACAAGTTTTTCGAGCTGCGTCCAGCCGTGGTGACGAGGATAACCCTCGAAGGCCAGAAGGCCTCGATCCTCGATGCTCGAGGCTCGAACCTCGACGCGAATCTGCCGTCGAACGCCAGAAATCCTCGATCCTCAATCCGCGAGGGGCCGTGGTGACGAGGACAGCCCTCGAAGGCTGCAAAAGCCTCGGTCCTCCAGGCTCGAGGCTCGAACCTCGAGGTGAATCTGCCCCCGAAGGCCAGAAGGCCTCGATTTGAAAGATTGGTCTTCGGCGCGCCTTGAACCTCCTCCTTTCCTTCCTTGCTTTTAGGTCCGAGGCTTTCGCCATTCTCGCAACCCCCAACAAACGTGGCTGCGCATGGCTGGAGGGATAACCCGAGAAAGGTTCTTGCTCTAGCCGCGGGGGGGGGAAATCTGAGCAAGCTTGTTTATTCCGCATGCGTTCTGCTGGAGAGGTAACCTGAGAAAGGTTATGACTCCAGCCGCGGGAGAGGTAACCTGAACAAGTTTATCGCTTCCGCGGGCGTTAGGCTGGAGAGGTAACCTGAGGAAGGTTATCGCTCCAGCCGCGGGAGAGGCAACCTGAACAAGGCGATCGCTCCCGTCTGGTTTAAGAACAAGGGGGAGGGGTAAATTCCACGCTTCACTTGAATAGTGATTGAGCGGGAAAAGTAACCTGAACGAGGTCATCGTTTCCGCGAGCGTTAGGCTGGAGAGGTAACCTGAAGGAGGAGGCACATGCGTTAGACGTTAGGCGTTAGGGGAGGAGGCCGGTAACGTCACCTTTCGCGCTGACGCCGTCTGGGAGAACCTCTAGGAATCACCAAAGACAACTCGGAGGTCAGCACGAACCGTGAAGTGACCTGAGGGGGGGTGGCGGCTGGGGCGGGTAACGGCCGCTGTCGCGAAACAGAGAAGAAGAATAATTAATAAAAAAAGAAAAACACAAAACACAAAAACAAAAAAAAAAAAAAAAAAAAAAAAAAAAAAAAAAAAAAAAAAAAAAAAAAAAAAAAAAAAAACGCCCTCACGGCGCCTGTGGCGCCGCCCCTGGCGCGCTCCGCGAGTCCAGCGCCGATCCAAGAAATCCGCGCGGAGCTCCGAACAGAAATGCCCATTGATGGGCCTGCTTTCCACCACCACCACCACCACCACCATCACCATACGGAGGAGGAGGAGGAGGAGGAGGAGGAGGAGGAGGAGGAGGAGAAGGAGGAGGAGAAGGGGAGGAGGAGGAGGAGGAGGTGGAGGAGGAGGAGGAGAAGGTGGAGGAGGTGGAGGAGGAGGAGGAGGAGGAGGAAGTGGAGGAGGTGGAGGAGGAGCAGGAGGAGGAGGAGGTCCCCCTCCCCTTCCAACTTCTGGTGGTGGTGGTGGAAAACAAGCCCATCACCCATGCCGCCCTTACGCACAGCTGTGCATGGTCTGAGCACGGCCTCCTCGCCTCCCGGGCCCTCCTCTGGCCCTCCTCCGGCCCTCCTCCCCGCGCTCCGCTCGCGCCTGCCCCGCCCTCCGTGCCACAAGCTTCGCCACGGCTGCGCCCCGCCGTCGCCCGAACGCTGCTTGCTTTAGGTCGGGCATGTCCCCCCAGACTATTGTTTTACTAGTTTGGGATATTCCTCCCGTAGGGGGGCGCGCCCGCCTTAATGCTTGCTCCCTGGCGCCCTCCGACCAGAAACATGAGTGCCAGTTGTTCCGGACTGCACGCCTGCGCACGGATACGTGCAACCAGCGAGGCTAGGGGACCACATGCGAACCCTACCCCTGCCCCCCACGATTTCTCCCGGTTCACTTCGTTCGGGAGCTCCCGAGCGAAGCGAACCCCACCCTGCCCCTCAGAAATCGTGGGCGGTAGGGGTAGGGTTCGCATGTGGTCCCCTAGAGGCTGTGCCAGCACCGGGCACCCACCGGACATCGCCGGGAGTCCGAGGCCGAGCAGGGGCGCTCAGTCGGCCGAGACCTCGGCACCGAGGCGTGCCTTCGAGCGAGCCGAAGAGCGGGCGCCGCGTCCTGGCCGAGGAAGACGTGCGAGGGCTTGATGTCGCGGTGGAGGACGCGCCGCCTGGCGGCCGCGCAGGGAGGGGCCAGGAGGCAGCGGCGGCGGCGGCAGCGGCGTTGGCGGCGCGCGGGAGGATCGAGGAGAGGGCCTCGTGGAAGGGCGAGGCCAGGACTGGGAGGCCATCGGCGGCGGAGGGGTCCCTGGCAAGAGTGGCCCGTGGTGCGCCCGTGGTGCGCGGCTCGTGGCGGGCGTGGGGGGGGGGGGGGGGCGCGCCCGAGCGCGCGAGCTGCTGCTGTCGCATCGCGTTCCGAGACCGGGGGAGCCCAGTGGGCCCGCACCAGAGGTCACTCCAGCGAGGGGTCACTCTCACGTGTACCCCAGATTCCGTAATAAAGGGAGGGGGGTCTCATTTCGGGGGGCGTCTCTTCCAGGCTATCTTGGAGGGCCGGGGGGGTCCGGGGACGATGTTTTGGAGGGTTCTCCCACGGGGGAGGTCTGAGATGGCTTGTCTTGGAGGGTCCAGACCCCCTCCCTTTTATCACGAAACCTGGAGTAGCCGAGGCCATCAGACGAGGACAAGAGTCGGGGATCACGGTGAGCCGGCGGTCCCGCGCAGAAGGGCCCAGCGCCGATCCGAGAGCTCCGCGCGGAGCTCCGCAAGGTCAGCCTCACGCAGTGTGCTTTTGTTTCGACGTGGGGCCCCGCCCCGCGGGGGTGGGCAGCACCCCCTCTGGCAAAGCGGCCGTCAGTGGAAGCTGCCAGGAGCACTCCACGTGCGCACAGCACCGCACTCCGAGTGGACCCCAGCGGGGTGGCTCATCGACGTCCACAGACGACCAAGTCGCTCATCATCGACGGGTCGCTCGTCGACGTCGACTCGCGAAACCAACTGCGCTCTGCACCGGCGAACTCGACTGCAAGTGTCTGGTGAGCCCGTGCAGACTTCCTCGGTCGACTTGTCTGGTGGTGGCGTCCTGTCCGTGCCTGAGCCCCATTCGCCTCGCCCTCGCAGTCGCTGGTGCCGCCTGACTTGGCGACGGCACGCGACGACGTCGCATGGAAGCGCAAACACGTCGCTAGTCTACAATGCCTCGACCCATGTCTTCGTTTCCTGTGACTCCCCCCTCCCTACCCTCCTCCTCCTCCTCCTCCTCCTCCTCCTCCTCCTCCTCCTCCTCCCTCCTCCTCCTCCTCCTCCTCCTCCTCCTCCTCCTCCTCCTCCTCCTCCTCCTCTCCTCCTCCTCCTCCTCCTCCTCCTCCTCCTCCTCCTCCTCCCTCCTCCTCCTCCTCCTCCTCCTCCTCTCCTCCTCCTCCTCTCCTCTCTCCTCCTCCTCCTCCTCCCTCCTCCTCCTCCTCCTCCTCCTCCTCCTCCTCCTCCTCCTCCTCCTCCTCCTCCTCCTCCTCCTCCTCCTCCTCCTCCTCTCCTCCCTCCTCCTCCCTCCTCCTCCTCCTCCTCCTCCTCCTCCTCCTCCTCCCTCCTCCCCCTCCTCCTCCTCCTCCTCCTCCTCCTCCTCCTCCTCCTCCTCCTCCTCCTCCTCCTCCTCCTCCTCGGCCGTCCTCGCCCCCCCGCTCCCCCTGCCGCACACCCCCCCGTGCCCCTCTGCACGCACGCCCGCCGAGCCTGTGGAGGTAGACGAGGGCGCTGGAGACGTCAGAGAGCCACCGCCACAACAGCGCCTCGTCCATGGGGGAGCCCAGGCTCCTCGCGGACTCCACCTTTGCGTGGACAGGAACCCACCAGCGATAACTACATATAAGGCTACACAGACAATCAAAACACTCAGGCATTACAGCGCACTACTTCTAGGTAAGACTCTAGTTCCTCAGTTTTGCAACATATGCACACAATATTTGGTGGCTCGCACTGCTTCGCCTCAACTCTTGGTCCTGCGTCAGGTACCTTCGGGCACCCGTGAAAATATGGAGAGGTGGGGCGCTGTGAAAAGAAGGGCGGGGGGAGCAGGAAGGAGAAATTGGGCGCCCCTAAGTCGTGCTAGGCAAAAACAACGGGTCAGAAAACGGAAACGTTGGGACGGATTCCGATCCAAACAGAACGGACTTGAGCGGGGAAAGATCATGATCACGAAGGGGTCAAGGTTATGAACGCGAGAGGGGTTACAACCATGAACATGGTGGAAGTTGATGGACTGGCCGTAGCAGGGGGTCAAATCATGACCGCGAAGGGGCTAATAGTAATACAGGAGAAAGCGGTCACGGTACTGATCATGTCATGTGTCGGTGGAGCTCCATATGGGGCCACGGAAAGTGTGAGGAGTGTGCCCCAATTGGTGTGGTGATGCCATGCGAGCGCAGCCACTGGGGCCTTCGGTGGAGCTCCCTTTGGGGCCACGGAACGTGCGAGGGGTGTGCCGACATGGGCGCGGTTGTGCTATGCGAGCGCAGCCACTGTGGCCTTCGGTGGAGCTCCCTTTGGGGCCACGGAACGTGCGAGGGGTGTGCCGACATGGGCGCGATGGTGCTATGCGAGCGCAGCCACTGGGGCCTTTGGTGGAGCTCCCTATGTGACCCCGAAACGTGTGAGAAGTGTGCCGAAATGGGCGCGGTGGTGCCATGCGAGCGCAGCCACTTGGGCCCTCGGTGGAGCTCCCTATGGGACCCCGAAACGTGTGAGAGGTGTGCTGACACAGACATGCGGAGGGCAGAGGCACGGATGGTGAGATGGGAGGAGGGAGAAGGAGGAGGAGGAGGAGGGGGAGGAGGAAGGATGAGTGAGGAGTGAGGAACGCGACGCGGCGCGCTGTCTCTTCAAAACGAGGACCCGACTCCACAGGACTGTTGGGAAAACTTGCGCTAGACTCCTGGGCCGCTTTGCTTGCCCAGCCTTCTGCGCGAGCGTGCCGCCCATGGCCGGCTCCATCACGAGGTACAGGTCTCCCTCGTGGAGGAAGTGCTCGTGATACCTGATCAGGTGCGGGTGGTCCAGCGCCATCAGAAGACCGGCCTCCATCTCGCACTCCCTCTGCACGGCCTCCTCGACGGGACCACCAGGGGACGCGACTCGCAGACACAAGGCATGCTCTCGAGCACGCGACCTTCCCTCCCTCCGAGGCCGCGGGCTGGCAGCACTCAGGCTGGGGTGGCGCGAGGGGCGCGGCCTGAGGAGGCAGTGGGCCTCCTCGGGAGATGCCCGGGGGCCTCTGAGCACGCAGAGGCCCCCGCGGCAGAGACCGGAGGCCTCCGAGGAGGAAGGGGGCCTCCTCGGCATGGACCCGGAGGCCTCCGAGAAGGCACGGGGCACCCCGTGCCTTCTCACAAGCCCCCCCGCCTGGGGAGGCCAAGAGGTACCGGCACCGCTGCTCCCCGGATCTCCCCCGGGGTGCACACCGACCAGAGCCTCGAGGCGAGTCCAGCGGTGGCGGCGAGGGCCTCCCAGAAGCCCCAAAAGTGAGACAGCGAGGCAGGGACAGCGGCACACGTTGGCCGGAGGAAGCAGGTCGGAACACGAAGCAGAAAGGAGGATGCAGTAGACTGGGGTCAGGCCCTCCCAGAGACTGGCAGAACACAGCAAGAGCATATCACATCGGCGCTTGAAGTAGGAAGGCGCTTGATGTGGACTGGGTTCTGGGAATCCAGAACTGCCTGCTTTCAACGACCGGCGTGCATCGGTACCTCCTCCTCCTCCTCCTCCTCCTCCTCCTCCTCCTCCTCCTCCTCCCCTTCCCCCTCCCCCTCCCCCTCCCCCTCCCCCTCCTCCTCCTCCTCCTCCTCCTCCTCCTCCTCCGACCCCCTGCCTTCTCAGAAGCCCCCCCCCCCCCCGCTCGCTGGGAGGGCAGCCAAGGCGCTCGCCGTCCCCCCGGCGCGCGCGCCGCCAGGGCGGAGGGATATCGGCTCAGCGCCGCCCCGAGACTGCACCCCGAGAGCCGACGCTGCCGAGCAGAACACGGCTTCACCGCCAACAACCACGACCCAAGCCCCAGACTCACGTCGGGCCTGTCCCCCTACAGGCCGGCCGATGTTCGAGGAAAAAACAAAAATCCAAGAATGCCCACCAAAATAATCAAAAAGTCAAGGTCCAGAAAATCGAAAATGATCGAACAACATGAAAAAATAAAAAATAAGAGAGGGAACAAAACAAAAAAAAACGGCCCCCGACTATGTTTATAATATTTATAATATATTCCTCCTGTAGAGGGACAGGCACGACTTCACCCCAGACCCCACCTTCCTGCGTCAGTTTTCCGGCCCGATCGATCTATGAGGGCCCCAGGGCCCGAAATTGAGCGAAAAAATGCTCGGCTCGACAATAATTGCGTCGCCAGGACCTCAAGGCACGAGAGGCCCGCCTGCGAGGCGTGCGCCATCCCAAGTAAATCGTGAGAAAGCCCAAAGCGAGAGCGTGATTCCTGAGCGCCGAGGGCGCATCGTTTCAGTAAATTGCGAGGAAGTCCCACGCGATAGCACGATTCGCATATAATGTGTGATGAAGTCCCGTGCGAGAGCACGATACTTAAATAAACTGCGAGGAAGAATCGAGCGGGAGCCGTTGTTGTTGCAATTCCGGGCCCAACAACGCAGTTTGAGGAGGAAGACTTTCCCTGATAAAAAACCAAGTGCGAGCCCCAGGAGGATCGCTTCAATTGAAAAACGCATGTGTTACCAGGGGGGATCAATTATAATTATTCTTCAGAAATGAGAACTCAACCAAAACACCACCAACAACAACAATGGCAACAACATAAACAGCAGCAGCAACAGCAACACTAACACCATCACCACCACCAACAACAACAACAACAGCAACAATAACAGCAACAACAACAGTAATCTTAAGACTGTTCGCTCTTATCTGCTCGCGGGCCATTCAACACGTGTATCCCAAACCCGCGATACCCGCCCTCTTCGTCTTCGATCGTACCTCCTTGGGGGTGCATCCTTCTTACCTGCAACGTGTATTTCGTGTAGCCCCTAAGGAAGGGTAGGAGAGGACAGACGGAAGGCAGGGACAATGGGGAGGGAGGAGGATGGGGCACGAGAGAGAGTAGCAGCGGGGCTAGGAGCAGAAAACACATGGCAGAGCCAGACGGGCAGATCAGGCGGGCAGACCCCAGCGGGCTGGTCGGGAAGGCGGGCCCAGGCGGCCAGGTCGAGCGGGCGGAGTGCTGAAGCATGAGTCCTGCATGAATCGCGTGGAAGTTTTGAGCGATGCGCGATTCTCGAGTAAGTGATTAAAAAAGCCCAGAAGCGAGAGCGTGACTTCTGAGTGTCGAGGACGCGGCGTCTAAATCAATTGCGAAGAAGACCCACGCGAGAGCGCGATTCCTGATAACTTGCCATCCCGCGCGCGAGAGCGATTTCTCAATGAATTGTGAGGAAGTATCAGGCTGGAGCCGATGTTGTTGTAACTGGGGGGGCCAGGGGCACAGTTTGAATAGGAAGACTTCCCCTGTAAAAAACAAGGGGCGAGCCCCGAGGGGGGGTACTTCAATTGATAAATACAATGTGCACGCGGGAGGGGTCAACAATACCTATTCTTCAATGATGAAAGTTCCACAACGACAGCAACAACAGCAGCAGCAACAACAACAACAACACATAGCAATAACAAGAACAGCAGTAACAACAACAACAATAATAACAACAACAACCACAATCACAACAACAACAGTAGCAGCAGCAACAACAACAGCAACATCAACAACACCACCAACAACAACCTGAACAACATCAACAACAACAGCAACAAACAACCAACAACAGCAACCACAACACAACTACTTCTACAACAACAAATTCAATTTCATCAACAACAACAACAACAACAACAACAACAAGAACAATTACTAGCACGTGGGGACACACCGTTCTCACCAGTGCCAGGGTTTTCATAGGAGGCGGGCAATACCCCCACTTTGTGGGGGGGCCGGTTCAAGCTCTACCAAATTTCCAAACGACTCTTCGCCACCACCCACACCCAGCTTCCCGCCCTATGACGTTCGGACACTTCACTTCGTGGCATGCGGACGACCGTGGCTACTATTCAGGGCCCCGCGGCCGACGACGACGGCGTGCGCGCGCGAAGAAAAAACGAATGTGTCCCGCATGGTATTATTTGACAGGGATGATGGCCCTGGCAGGTGCGCAACCGTTGTCGCAGAAGTTCGAAAAAGTTGCTCGCAAAAGCCCGTTTGACAGAAATGTTTAAAAAGTGTTGGGTTTCCTACGAATCCGCAAGAGCGCGCGGGATGAGATTTTGACAATTTTTTGTTGAAAAACCATTGGTTTTTTGATGTTTTTATGTTAAAATCGCTGCGAACACTAAGGTTTTGGAAGGATTTCGTCTTGCGCGCGCGAATGTCCACTTTACCTTATTTTTTGCAAGGGATTCTTGAAATTTGATTATATTAGAACAAGAAATGTCATTTTCTATTGTTTTTTGCAAGGGAAAGCGGATTACAACAAAACAACCGGATCCTGTACACACCCTCTTTTCTGAGGCTTCCTCACGAAAATGATGAAAATGTAGCTGCGGCCTAGGCGGCGCAGGGGGGGCGCGCACCAGGGGGCCCAACAATAATTATTCTTTAGAATAAATAATGTTCAACAACAGCACCACCAACAACAACAACCGTCCATCAGAGGCCCGGACTCAGAGCACCGCAGGCAGAATCTGGCGGGACCTCGGTGCACGGAAGCACCACGGGGCCCGGACGGACACACCGGCACGGTGTGCCCTCCCCGGAGGCGTGCGCCCGACCAGACGGCACCTCGCTGCCCCAGCGGTGTGGCCGGAGAGCGCCCGCCACCGAGCTCCGACGTAGAGACCTCCGAGCGTGCGCGCCGCCACCCGTCACGGCACCGACCCTGCAGACGTGCCGCGGCGGATTGGTGCGCTGATTTCTGCCAAGGCGAAACCCCGAAGCGGCGAGCAAAAGAAACGAAGTGGACGTCACGTGGATAGTGCAGCCTTCGTGCCTGGTCCCAAAAAGTCCGCGCCAAAGCCACCTCGAAGTCTGGAGCGAGATTCTCCAGGACACTCCGGGCCCATGCTGTCGTTTTCCGAACGAGATCCGCTCTGCAATGCTGGCGCCATGACATCTGGCATCAGTATGCTCGGATGGTGGTGAAATCACTACACCCCTGTGCACGGTTTCCCCTGGGGCCGTAATCGACCCGAGGAGGAGTAGGAGGAGGAGGAGGAGGTGGAGGAGGGGGAGGGGGAGAAGGAGATGGAGGAGGAGAAGGAGGAGGAGGAGGAGGGAGGAGGAGGAGGAGCAGGAGGAGGAGATGGAGGAGGAGGAGGAGGAGGAGGAGGAGGAGGAGGAGGAGGAGAGATGGAGGAGGAGGAGGAGGAGGAGGAGGAGGAGGAGGAGGAGGAGGAGGAGGGAGGAGGAGGGGGAGGACTGGCCGCCTAAGCCCTTCGGAGAAACCCTCCACACCCCCGTGGCCGGTGCGCGCCCGAGCCAGCAGGCGGCGACTCCGCAGCTGGCCACCGCGCGCGAATCGCGCGAGAGCCACAACGCGCGCCGGCGCGCCCGCCCGGCACGGAGGCACCCAGCAGCGAACAGAAACAGGCTGCACAGACGTTCCATGATGGGCCAGCTTTCCACCACCACTACCATACGTAGGACGGGGGAGAAGGGAGGATGGGGAGGTCCTCCTCCTTCTCCTCCTCCTCCCCCTCCGCCTCCTCCTCCTCCTCCTCCTCCTCCTCCTCCTCCATCTCTTGCCTGTGGTAGCGGTGGTGGAGAATCGGCTCATCGCTCCATTCTGCAGGTCCGCGCGGAGTTCTCAGAGCTGCGCTGAGCCCCCCTTCCTGGCGCGCGAAGCAAGCCGAAAGCGCTCGAGGCGCCGCCGGGAAGGGCCCCGCGCAGCTCCGAGAAGTCCGCGCGGACCTCCGAGAGTTTGCGTTTGTGCCGTCAGTCTTCTTCCTCGATGTTGGCCCCCGGCTCCTGCAGATCGCCGAACCTCGCCGTCTTCTTCAGCGCCACCGGTATCCCGGTCTCGAGGTGGACCCCCAGGTACACCTCGGAGCAAGGCGCGAGCAAAGCGGGGCTCCTGTCTTGACCACCGCTCTGCGGCTCTGCAGACGAGGGCGAAAGCGGTGCCATCGACCCCTAAGGACCCGTTCCGTTCCGTTCCGTTCCGGCCCGTCGCCCGCAGAAGCGAAAAAACACAGAACGGGCGCGTGCGGGCGCCCGAAAGCACCACGGGGAAGCGACAAACCCAAACCCCCGACGTCGTGATCTTTGAATGACGTCGGCCCCCGCAAGTCCCGACCCATTCCCCGGGACCGGTCTTCGTCCCGAGTCGTTGGATGGTCCCGAGGGCCGGGGAGGAACCCCAAAGGCCGAAGATTGCAGAAAACCAGGCGTCGTGATTTTGTCTAGAAGAAGATTACCCTGCGACGTACCCAACCCACGTGCATCAAATGGCAAGAGGAGTAGGCCAACATTAGCAGGAACAACGATAATGTAGGCGATGTGAATTGCTGTGCAAACTACATGGGATGCGCACGCATTGCACGGCTCACAGGACGACGATCGAAAGAACGAGGATTAAAGCCCCAGGCTCGCGTATGACGTCACTCCGCTGGGCCACCCAGCAGCCCTCGAAAGTGGTGACAGTTTCGCAGATCGCAGCCCCCCAAGGATGGCGAGGTCTAATCTGAATCCGAATATGTCCCCACTCCGCTGGGCCCTCCAGCAGCCCTCGAAAGTGGCGACAGTTTTGCAGATCGCAGCCCTTCGGGGATGGCGAAGTCGAGCCTGAGTCTGCGTAGGACCCACTCCGCTGGCCCCCCAGCAGCCATCGGAAGTGGCGACGGTTTCGCAAATCGCAGTCCCCCAGGAATGGCAAGGTCGAATCTGAGTACCCCACTCCGCTGCCCCCCCCAGCAGCCCTCGAAACTGGCGACAATTTCGCAAATCGCAGCCCCCCCCAGCGATGGCGAGGTCTAATCTGAGTCCCCGTGGGGCCTCACTCCGCTGGTCACCCCAGCAGCCCTCGGAAGTGGCGACAATTTCGCAGATCGCAGCCCCCCAGAGATGGCGAGGTCTAATCTGAGTCCCCGTGGGGCCTCACTCCGCTGGGCCCCCCAGCAGCCCTCGAAAGTGGCGACGGTTTCACATCACAGATCGCAGCCCCCCAGGGATGGCGAGATCTAATCTGAGTCCCCGTGGTGCCTCACTCCGCTGGGCCCCCCAGCAGCCCTCGAAAGTGGCGACAGTTTCACAGATCGCAGCCCCCCCAGGGATGGCGAGGTCTAATCGGAGTCCCCGTCCCCGTGGTGCCTCACTCCGCTGGACCCACCAGCAGTCCTCGAAAGTGGCGACAATTTCACAGATCGCAGCCCCCACAGATGGCGAGGTCTAATCTGAATCCCCGTGGTGCCTCACTCCGCTGGACCCACCAGCAGCCCTCGAAAGTGGCGACAGTTTCGCAGATCGCAGCCCCCCAGAGATGGCGAGGCCTAATCTGAGTCCGCGTGGTGCCTCACTCCGCTGGACCCACCAGCAGCCCTCGAAAGTGGTGACAGATTCACAGATCGCAGCCACCCCCAGAGATGGCCAGGTCTAATCTGAGCCCCCGTGGTGCCTCACTCCGCTGGGCCCACCAGCAGCCCTCGAAAGTGGCAACAGTTTCACAGATCGCAGCCCCCCCAGATGGCGAGGTCTAATCTGAATCCCCGTGGTGCCTCACTCCGCTGGACCCACCAGCAGCCCTCGAAAGTGGCGACAGTTTCAAAGATCGCAGCCTCCCCAGGGATGGCGAGGTCTAATCTGAATCCCCGTGGTGCCTCACTCCGCTGGACCCACCAGCAGCCCTCGAAAGTGGCGACAGTTTCACAGATCGCAGCCCCCCACAGATGGCGAGGTCTAATCTGAATCCCCGTGGTGCCTACTCCGCTGGACCCACCAGCAGCCCTCGAAAGTGGCGACAGTTTCAGAGATCGCAGCCCCCCCCAGAGATGGCGAGGTCTAATCTGAATCCCCGTGGTGCCTCACTCCGCTGGACCCACCAGCAGCCCTCAAAAGTGGCGACAGTTTCACAGATCGCAGCCCCCCAGCCCCCAGGGATGGCGAGGTCTAATCTGAATCCCCGTGGTGCCTCACTCCGCTGGACCCACCAGCAGCCCTCGAAAGTGGCGACAGTTTCACAGATCGCAGCCACCCCAGAGATGGCGAGGTCTAATCTGAATCCCCGTGGTGCCTCACTCCGCTGGACCCACCAGCAGCCCTCGAAAGTGGCGACAGCTTCAGAGATCGCAGCCCCCCCAGGGATGGCGAGGTCTAATCTGAATCCCCGTGGTGCCTCGCTCCGCTGGACCCACCAGCAGCCCTCGAAAGTGGCGACAGTTTCACAGATCGCAGCCCCCCCAGGGATGGCGAGGTCTAATCTGGGTCTGAGTATGGCCCCACTCCGCTGGGCCCCCCAGCAGCCCTCGAAAGTGGCGACAGTTTCGCAGATCGCAGCCCCGCACAGGGATGGCCAGGCAGGAGGCAAGCTGACACGCGGCGACGAGCAAGGTGAGATGCAGGGGGGAAGAGGAAAGGAGGAACGAGGCGGGAAGGAGGAGGAGGAGGAGACGCGACCGCACTGCTCTATTCAAAACGAGAACCCAACGCAGGAGGGTTGGGAATAAAACTGCATAAACATAAACTGTTGGCGCTCCGCGCGGATTTCTTGGACCTGCACGGAGCGCGCCAGGGGCGGCGCTGGAGGTGCCGCTGGGGGGCCCAGCGCGAATCCAAGAAATCCGTGCGGCGCGCCAAAGTTTATGTTGACTTCCCACAACCAGTGGGGTCTTTCCTCTGCACCCGCCCCCCCCCCCCCCGCGCAGGAACAAGAGAACACACCCTCTCCTCTTCTCTAATCGCACACTCATTCACGGAATCACTCACACACATCAGCACTCACACTCACTCACTCACCCACTCACTAACCCACTCACACACTCACTCACACACTCATCATCATCATCATCATCATCATCATCATCATCATCATCATCATCATCATCATCATCAGCATCATCATCATCATCATCATCATCATCATCATCAGGAGCAGCAGCAGCAGCATCATCATCATCAGCATCATCATCATCACTCGCTCTCTCATTCACCCACTCACTCACCAACCTACCCGCCCACTCACTGACTTACAGTATCAGCATCATCATCATCATCATCATCATCATCATCATCATCCTCATCATCCTCATCATCATGATCACCAGCATCACTGTCATCACCATCTTTCATCATTATCAGCATCATCATCTTCATCTTCACTCACTCACTCACTCATTCACTTACTCACTCACTCACTCATCTCAGGCGGGAGCCTCGTCTGTGAGTGAATTGCACTGAATTCTCAGGCGGGAATCGTGCAACTGCCGTCACTGATGGCTTCTTCAAGCTTGAGTATGGCGGAAGTCTCAGGCGGGAGCCTCGTCTGTGAGTGAATTGTAAGGAAGTCTTAGGCGGGAGCCCCCTCCTTAAAGGCCCGCAGCTCATGTGAGTAATCCGAGCGGGTCATCGGAATCCTGTAACTGTCATCACTTGTGGCTTCTTCAAGCTTGAGTGCGACGGAAGGCTCAGGCGGGAGCCTCGTCGGTGAGTGCATCGCGAGGAAGTCTCAGGCGGCAGCCCCCTCCTTAAAGGCCCGCAGCTCATGTGAGTAATCCGAGCGGGTCATCGGGATCCTCTAACTGTCGTCATTTTTGGCCACTCCGAGCTTGAGTATGGCGGAAGTCTCAGGCGGGAGCCTCGGCTGTGACTGAATTACGAAGAAGTCTCAAGCGGGAGCCCCCTTCCTTAAAGGCCCACAGCTCATGTGAGTAACCCGAGCGCAACATCGGAATCCTGCAACTGTCATCACTTGTGGCTTCTTCAAGCTTGAGTGCGATTGAAGTCTCAGGCGAGAGCCTCGTCTATGAGTGACTTGCGAGGACGTCTCAGGCGGGAGCCCCCTTCCTTATGGGGCCCGCAGCTCATGTGAGTAATCCGAGCGGGTCATGGGAATCCTGCAACTGTCGTCACTTTTCGCCTCTCCAAGCTTGAGTATGGTGGAAGTCTAAGGCGGGAGCCTCGGCTGTGAGTGACTTGCGAAGACGTCTCAGGCTGGAGCCCTCTCGGGCCACCCCTCCCTATGGGGCTCGCACTTCGTGTTGGCAATCCGAGTGTTGTATGCCGAGCTGGTCGTCGGCAAACTTGTTACTGTCATGGGCCCGAGTACCCGCCATGATGATGAGGAGGAGGAGGAGGAGGACGCAGAGGGCGGAGGGAAGGCCTCCGCCAGTCGAAGAAAAAAGGGCGAGGGACAAGCTAAATATATTATCATGTGGGGTCCTACCGTGAGAGTAATGGCGATGTTTCTCCTTCTATTGTCGTCACTCGAGGAGGAGGAGAAGGAGGACGACGAGGAGGAGAAGGAGGAGAAGGAGGAGGAGGAGGAGGAGCAGGGGTACGAAGAAGAGGACGAGGAGGAGGAGGAGAAGGATGAGGAGGAGGAGGAGAATAAGGAGGAGGAGGAGGAGGAGGATAAGGAGGAGGAGGAGGAGGGGGAGGTGGAGGAGGGAGGAGGAGAAGGAGGAGGAGGAGGAGGAGGAGGAGGAGGAGGAGGAGGAGGAGGAGGAGGAGGACGACGAGAAGGAGGAGGTGGAGGGGGAGGTGGAGGGGGAGGAGGTGGAGGAGGAGGAGGAGGAGGAGGAGGATGAAGAGGAGGAGGTGGAGGAGGAGGAGGAGGAGGAACTCGAGGGGGCCTGAGAACACGGCACGCGGAGGCAGCAAAAAAAAAGGCAGCGCGCTGCGCAAGCGCCCGGCCTCAGAGATCTGCCCCCTGGAGGTGCAGTGCCCGCGGTCGTAGGCGTCCAGCCGCGCCTTCGAGCTCGTGTCGTCGGAGCACTGGGCCGTCCGCATCTGCACCTGGGCGAGCGCCTCGGATGTCCACTGGTCGGAGGCCTAGAGGAAGACACCAACACCAACATCGGCGATGTGCTTCCACCGAGGGGAGATGATCCCGATCTCGGTGATGGTGGTAACGTTCGGGCTTCCAAGGTGACCCAAAGATCACCACCATCGCCAAAACCTAGGATCACCTTCCCCTGGTGCAGGCAACCCTCTGAGTTGGTGTTGGTGCCTATGTCTAAGACTCCGACACTGGCCGTTGTCATCATCGTCGTCGTCGTCGAGGTCGTCGTGGCCGTCGTCGTCGTCGTCGTGGTCATCGTCGTGGTCGTCGTCGTGGTCGTCGTCGTCGTCGTGGTCGGCATAACCCGACTTCCAGCGCACTCGAGTCTTACGTCCCCCTTTTTATCGGGGGGGCGAAAGGGTAGGATGGCAAAGGACAGGGTAGAGAATCAGCTCACGTAGCTGGATTTCCTGGCGCCTCCTGGCGCTGGGAGGCGCCCATGTATCGACGAGTGGGCCTGGCGGCGGGGCGGAAACCAGCTGCACGCAGCAGGTTTCGTCCCCCCCCCCTTTCCTACCCCCTCCCTTCACTCGCCCCGACTCTAGCACAACACCCTGTGCAGCCGGGGAACCAACACTGGCAGAGAAGCACAGACTCTCGAGGGCCCGCGCGGAAGACCGAAGGGACATTTCGAGCCCCTCGGCTCCGGGGGGGCACCCAGGAGGCCCCCAGGAGGCCCCCAGGAGCCCCCCAAGAGGCCCCCAGGAGGCCCCCACGAGGCCCCCACGAGGCCCCCAAGAGGCCCCAAAACGACGAACGAGCAACACACACCCATACCCATAGGGGGGTCGTTGGGAGGAGGACTGGCTATGGGTATGGGTGCGTGTCGTCGGACCCTGGGGAACGCTCCCGTTCCAGCGGGGACCCCCGTCCGACAACACGCACCCATAGCCCTTTCCGACCCCCCTATGGGTATGGGTGTGTGTTGTTGGTTCGTCACAAAACTGCTCCCCAGAGGCCCCCGAGAGCGCCCCGAAGAGACCCGAAGAAGCATCCCTGAGAACTCTTGACCCACAACCCAGGCACGGTGGCGGGATGAGCCGAAGGCCATTGGATCCGCCGCCCCCTGCTTGCAGGGGTGCACGGCGTGCTGGACGTTTCAGGTTTTGGTTTTGGTTCTTTTTCCAAAAGAACTCCCCCAGTGGGCTCCGGCACGTCCCGCCGGGGTCCCGGGAGGAAGCCGAAAGGACCTCAATCCGGAAAAAAATCCTCCAAAAAACGGCCGTTTCGCTCGGGACATCCTCAAAAAATCGCGAAGATGGCCCAAGATGGCCTCCAAGTCCGCCCGAGATGGTCCAAGACGGCCTCCAAAACGGCCCAAGAGAGTCCAAGACGGCCCAAGACGGCCCAAGAGGCCCCCCAGAGGCCTCCCAGACGGCCCAAGAGGCCTCCAAGAGGTCCTCCAGGAGAGTCCGAAGAGGCCAAAATCATTGATTTTTCCTTGGTTTTTGAAGGATTCTGGCATTTGCGCCTTTTCGGCTCTCCGACGGCTCGAGACGGCCCAAGAAGCCCCCAAGATCGCCCAAGAGGCCCCCAAGAGAGCCCCATGATGGCCCAAGTGGCCTCCAAGATGGCCCCTAGAGGGCCCCAAGAGGGCCCAAGAGGCCTCCAACACGCCCAAGATGGCCTCCCAGACGCCCAAGATGGCCTCCAAGACGGCCCTGGAGCATTCCAAGCGGGCCCCAAGTCGGCCCATAGAGGCCCCCCAAACGGCTTCCGACGGCTTCAGACGTGCCAGGAACCCACCAAGATGGCCGAAGTTGGCTCGAAGCTGGCCCGAGACGGCCCAAAAAGCCCCAAAGATCGCCCAAAGCTTGCCCAAGAGGCCTCCAAGACGGCCAAGATGACCTTCAAGATGCCCACGTGTTCCCCGAAGGCTTTCCAAACCGATTCGGGGAACACGTGGTCCGATAGCTTGGCAGGTCTGGCCTCAACGTTCGGCCACATAGGCGCTTCCAAAAAGGCAGGGGGCGGCGGTGATTCGCCGTAGGCGTCTTCGATCCGCCGCCCCCTGTGGTCTTGCCACAGGGGTGCACGGCGTGCTGGATGTTTCAGGTTTTGGTTTTGGTTCTTTTTCTAAAAGAACTCCCCAGTGGGCTTCGGCCCGTCCCGCCGGCCACCCGCAAGTTTCCGAAAATCCATCTGTCAATGCCTTTGTTGCCCCAACTTGGCCCAAGATGGCCTCCAAGACGGCCAAGATGGCCCAAGATGGCCTCCAAGATGCTTCCAAGACGGCCAAGATGGCCTCCAAGACGGGTAAGATGGCTCCAAGATGCACCCAAGACGGCCCAAGATGGCCTCAAGATGGTCTAAGACGGCCCAAAAGGCCCGCAAAAGGCCTCCAAGACGGCCCAAGAGCCCTCCAAGACGCCCTCCAGGAAGGCCCGAATAGGTTAAAATCATTGATTTTCCTAGGTTTTTGAAGGATTGTTGGCATGTTCTTCTTTTCAGCTCTCCGACGGCCCAAGACGGCCCAAGAGGTCCCCAACATCGCCCCAACAGCACCCAAGAGGCCTCCAAGATGGCCCCATGACGGCCCAAGAGGCCCCCAAGAAGGCCCCAAGAGGGCCTCAAGACGGCCCAAGAGGCCTCCAAGACGCCCAAGATGGCCTCCAAGACGGCCAAGATGGCCCAAGATGGCCTCCAAGATGCCTCCAAGACGGCCAAGATGGCCTCCAAGACGGGTAAGATGGCTCCAAGATGCACCCAAGACGGTCCAAGATGGCCTCAAGATGGTCTAAGACGGCCCAAAAGGCCGGCAAAAGGCCTCCAAGACGGCCCAAGAGCCCTCCAAGACGCCCTCCAGGAAGGCCCGAATAGGTTAAAATCATTGATTTTCCTCAGGTTTTTGAAGGATTTGGCATGTTCTTCTTTTCAGCTCTCCGACGGCCCCAGACGGCCCATGAGGTCCCCAACATCGCCCCAACAGCACCCAAGAGGCCTCCAAGATGGCCCCATGACGGCCCAAGAGGCCCCCAAGAAGGCCCCAAGAGGGCCTCAAGACGGCCCAAGAGGCCTCCAAGACGCCCAAGATGGCCTCCAAGACGGCCAAGATGGCCCAAGATGGCCTCCAAGATGCCTCCAAGACGGCCAAAGAGCCTCACAAGAGGCCTCCTCCTCCCTTCCCTCCTCCCTTCTCCTTCGTCCTCCCTCTCCTCCCCTTCCTCCTCCCCCCACCGTGTTCCCCGAACGCTTTCCAAACCGATTCGGGGAACACATGGTCCGATAGCTTGGCAAGCCTCTGGTCGCAACGTTCGGCCACATAGGCGCTTCCGAACGGGCAGGGGGCGGCGGTGATTCGCCGTAGGCGTCTTCGATAGAACACCGAGAGCCCAACAAAAAAACATGCCGTCACCATGCATGGCAAGGTTCACGCAAGTTTCTACCAGCCACGCCCCCCACGCTGGACACATCCAGGCGACCCCCAGATCGAAATGCCAGCGAGGGCCTCTACAGATGTGCGATGATCATAAACGGGCCTTGCGCGAGATGACGTACCGACCTTACGCTGTGGCTTACGCGGGCCGCCAGCGCGACACGCCACATTGGAGAGGAGGGCGCTCACGCGCGACCTTCCGCGGGGAGCTTACGCGCGAATGACGACGCAGTCGAACTCGTTTTTGGCGTCGCTCATATCGGAATGTCAGCGAGGGCCATCTACATAATTATGGTTGACGCCCGGACCTGATCAGGCTGATCCCGAGCTTTGGCTTGACAGCCGCCTCCGCCTTCCTGGCCCACGACTTGCTCCTACACTTCACTGATCAAGGGAACTCGCCAGGCATCGTTTCGGGATGGACTGGTGGGGACACGCGAAGCGTCAAGAGTAGGAAATGCCCTAGAGACTTCGAAAACTACCCAGGAGCCCCGAGAGAGGACCCCAGAGGGCCCAAGAGAGAGCTCAAACATCCACAAAAACCACCGTATAAACCAATGTTGCTTTGCAGGTGATGCTTCCCACGCTTTCCGGCTCAAGCTGGCATCTGAAACTCCCGAGGGGGCTCCAAGGCTCAAGAGGCGCCCAAGAGAGCCCGAGAGGATTCCAGCAGGGCCCCAAGGAGGCTCCAGACGGCCCCCTGAGGACCCAAGACAGCCCAAGAAGCTGGCACTACGCCTTGGCGGCGCGCACAAGAGGGTAGGGGGAGGGGGGAAGGCTTCTCAGAAGGAGGCCGCCTCTTAGAAGGCGCCGGCCCTACATCTGCAGACACGGCCCACGCCGTCTGAGAAGCAGGGGTGCCTCTAAGAAGCCTCCCCCCATACCCCCCTTCTGCGCGTGGCCGAGTCGCGGCCCCTTCCACAGGACCAGCTCCTCACCCCGAGCCGTTCCGTTGACGGCCCCGATGCCCGGCCAGGGCCCCCCCGGAGGCCCAAGAGAGCGAAGTGTCGCCCGTGGGGATTTTGCCAGGACCCGAGGGGATCGCGGGCGTTGGACGTGAAGGCCTGCCACCGGCCGACGGGTATCGGCGCGGGGGAAGCGGGTCCCGGGCCCCAGTCTGGCCGTCGCTCGGACGTCCAGTCCCTGTGTTGTTTTTTTGGTTTCGTGCGTGGTTTCCACCGATGGCTCTTGCCGTGACGTCGCTGCGGCGAGCTGAGCGCAGCCAGCCAGGATCAGACAGTCGGCGCCAGCGCGGCACGGATTGAGCAGCCCGGAAAAAAAAGACGAGGAGGAGGAGGAGGAGGAGGAGGACCAAGCGTTCCATGAGGTGTTCCTGCGACTGTCAGCTCCGACTGGGCGGCGCTGGGGCCGTGACCCGATCGCCCGACCCGAGGACGAGAAGAAGGAGAAGGGGGAGGAGGAGGAGGAACTCACGGCCCGAGGCAATGTGTGCACGGACGACGGGGAGCCAGCGAACGCGTTCCGCCTGAGATCCGACGTCGCCAAAAATGCCACAACACAGCAACAACAACAACAACAACAACAACAACAACAACAACAACAACAACAATCACTTTACCCGAACGCTCA